TGAGCCGTTTGCGAACATGACCTGCTAGCCAGGCACTAGCCCCAATCAGGCACACACATAAAGCGAGATGTGCACTCTTGTGCGCCGTCCCGCCAACCCTGTGTTCCAGATCGTGCGACTTCGCAGACTTGCTTTGTTGCTGATGCAAGACCACCTTATCAGGCACACACATCAAGCGTGACGTGTTTTCTTGCGCGCCGTCCCGCCAACCCTGTGTTCCAGATCGTGCGACTTCGCGGACTTGCTTCGTTGCTGATGCAAGACCTGTCAGCTGCCATGAACTGCTTTTACCAGCAAAGGTTTGCCAGTCGGGAGCTTCGTTCCCAAGCTTTGCGAGTCTGCTGTCGTGTTTCACACTGTAGCTGCGAAACGCCTTCGTGCTTGCATGCAGCACTCCCACAGTCATGGACATGATTGCCCGAGGTCCACGGATAAAAGCATTACCACGTTCCCCCTTCAATTTTCCGCTTCGCATATCTTGCTGGGCCAGGCATTGATTCAGATTGTTACTCCAGCACTACCATTTCCTTTTCGCCCTTGCCAAGCCTTTCGACTCTTGCAGTTTTGATCGAGGTTCGTGACGCCGGAGCATCCCGAGAATCCAAGAAGATACTTCGTCAGGCATAGGCACGCCAAGCAATGTGCTTCACAGGGGGGGTTGATAGCCTTGTTCTACTAATCCTCATGTGATCAGCTGTCATCCCTCTAGGAGTTGCCAATTCTAAACCCCTCAGCAGTTTCAGTTGTACGAAATGGAAATGACTCTGCTCAGGCTTGGAGTCTTGGGTTTCTCTAGAACGACTTGCCTCCATGCGACATGTCTGACGATGTCGTGACGCGCCACATGCTCTGCTCAACATGAGAACGCAAAACGGGACTTCAACGTTGCATTTTCTTTGTTTCTTGGGGATGCCTTCTCATCGCCTTAGCCCTGCCTTGTGGAGGATGGGCTACCCCCTGATGAGCCTGGATGGAGACTTCGGTCCCGAAGGCCCGAAGGTTCAGCCACGTCGCCAGCCCCGCTTGATTCATCGGATTGTGGTCTTCATTTCGCCCTATAGCCTGGCATGCTCGGCGCAGTGTTCGGAGTTAGGGCTGTCGAGCTTGCAAGAAGCGACTCTGTCGGAGGGCGCATCAGCATCCGCGGGCTGAACAAGGACAACTACCAGATCTGCGGTCTGGAGGATGCCGTCTGGGCAGGGTCTTGAAGGCTGCATTTGTGGCGAACATGTCATCTGATGTCGTGCAGCTGCACGACATAGATATTTTTCGTGTATGTTTGTGTGTATGTATGTATGCATGCACCTATTAATTATTAATGTATGTATGTATGCACGTATGTATGTATGTATGTATGTATGTATGTATGTATGTATGTATGATCGATACGTATACTTAAATATACATTTTTTGAAATACAACACAGACGCATCTATATACACATGTATACATGTACAGGCATATGTAAGCACCTATATATATATAATTATATAATTATATATACATATATATATATATATAAGTCTATATATATATATATGTACATACACACACACACGTACCAGAGCTGACGCGTACTGCGCATATATAGGTCGGGTGAAGCAGCTCAACTATACAGCGCCCGACCTTTCTGTCTCCGCAGAAGACGGCCTCTGGCGAATGCCAATGCTTCGTCTTGCAACACATCGACGCAGGCCTCGCGACTGTCGAGCTTTGCCAAGCTGATTTTGCCATACCTGTCACAAGGACATAAATACGTATGCATGTAGTTGCTGCGAGTCATTAATATGCCTGCTCGGACGTACAGAGTGCCGTGTTGAGGTGGTTTCCAGGCTAGTCTGCACTTCATGCAGGATTGCTTGGAACTTTACTGCTGCTTGCAGTGTACCGCATTTCATTCAAGCAGCGAAACACGCCACAGCACTGCGAAGAGTTGTCGAGTGTCACCGCGGAAGTACCTTGCAATTGCACGTGACAGGGCTTGTTCTGGGCGCTCTCTTCGCGATTCGCCTTCACAGCAGGTGCCCTTTCGGTGTAACTGTTTAGTCCTTTCTCGTGCTAGTGATTTCTATGGATGGATCGCGGCGGCAAAATTTTGTGCGTGTGTGTGTGTGTGTCGTCGTTGGTTTGAAGCATAGCTTCTCAGCCTCCATTACATGCGCCGTTCGTGTGGTACTTGCTCGTATTCGAAAAGCTGAAAACCTTGCTCGAGGTTGGCACAGGAGCGACGCCTAGCCGAGCAGGCGAGTTGTTTCTGTTAGATTTTGCCAACGCTAGTTGAACGAGACGTCGGACATCACCCGACCACTGGTTACCCCATGTTACTCTGTGCTTCGCGTGGCTAGTACGTTTGTCTGTGGGATACGCATCTGCCTCTTTTTGACAGGCAGCCGAAAGTGCGGAGAGCATCCGAGGCTGGTGTTGTTTTCCTAACTTTGCATGTCAGGATTGATTTTCGGATGCCCCCTCACACCATGAGGGCCAGAACCGAGCAAGAGCTTGCAAGCATGCCTGCAACAGCTGACGCTAGTGCGGATTTGCAAACTAGAGCGGGCCCCTGATTGGCCTCTAGAATATGCTTGAATTCTCAAAGTAGCATCTCGCAGTATGAGCATGGGTATGTGTTCGAGATTCAGGATGACTCAAGATTCAGAGGATGCAGAATCGAACCTGCACTGCGCATGTCCACTGTGGAGATAAAGAAAAGGGGGCATGACGACAGATCATGTGTCTTTGCACACGCTCTTTCGAAAGTGAATCCCTGTGGCCCAACTTACACTGGTGCCCAGCTGCTGCTCAACTACAGCCGCCTGTGGTGCCGGAAGGACACCCAAGGGATTCGGAACGGCACAAGGCTTCAGGTTTGCCTGCCGTACCCTGCCTACTATACCATATTCTCTGTCAGACACCATCTTGTCTTCAGTTCTGGGCTCGCAACTGAAACTTGATGTAGCACACACACACACACACACTGCCAGTTGGGTGTGCGTGGGTGTGCTCCCGAGTCTCGCCAGTAGTTTGGGACAAGCATTGACCGTGCTCCTCAATCCCGCCAGTGCTTGGCCGTGCGGTCCTGGTGGTCTGCTGGTCCGTGGTCTCCTGCTCGTCTGTGGTAGGGCTCTATCAGTTTAAGGAGGAAAGAAATCATAATCGAGTTGGAGTAGCATCTTTCCAGAAGCGACAACGCCGCCTCGGGTAAGCCAAGCTTGAACTGGAGGATCCGAAGCAGACAGGCCACCTCCTACACCGTCGCAGGCCGAAGCCGGCTTCAGCAGTCCTCCTGTGTAGGCGCTATAGGCCACATGAATTTCATCTGGTGATGAAGACGTGCCGCTGCATGTTCACGCTGCCATGTCCCAATTCTCAGTGCCAGACTATTGTCAGGCTGATGCCTCTGAAGAAGCCAGCTGAAGGGGAACGTGATGGAACATGTTGCCCACAATGCTCCATGTATCGAGCTGCAGATGTCGCGGAGCAAAGTTTCCAGGTCAGACAACCTTGTAGGTCTCTTCTGCTTGCAGCAGTTTGGAGATGCGAGATCGCTTCTGATCATGGCGGAAAACGTAAAGAGCACAGCTTGATTGTGGCCAGGAAGGCAGTGCGATTACCTATTGCGCGAGTTTACAGAATCAGAGTTTTACGCTGTACCCCATAAATCGGATTGCACAACACCGGCTGCTGCTTACGTCCGCTCCCAGGTTTTTTTTGTCGTTGCCGCGATTCCTATTTGCATCTTTATGACAGAGAGTGGGGAGCAAGTCCAGCACGAAAGACATGTCTTACGAACTCGGCACGACCTGAAACGAAGTGAACTTTCGTCCGTGTCGCACTCCGAGCTCTATATACGGCACGCTGTCGCCTCGGTCACCACTGCGTTCTCTTCGGCTCCTGCAGCCTTCGAAGCGCAGTTCAGGCGCTCTGGGCCTGCTTGCATAGGGAGCGGCCAGAATTGCATGGGAATTGCTGCATTCTATCACCCCAAGCAACCTGAAACGGATTGTAGCATGTCACCGTGCTAAGCTACACGGGAGGGCAGTGAGTTGTTCAGTCAAGACAAGACTTTTTTTTGTGCCCTTCAGCCTTCCATCTGGGCACCAGGCCCGGCCTCCGGAGTAGCACCAAACTGCAGGGCAGAGCGGTAAAGCGCCCGAAGAAGGGCGCCTTTGGAGATCGAAGTAAATCGAAGTATGAGGCCCTGTTCATAGATGCCGTGCTTGTCAGATCGTTTTCTTTCAGGGCATCCTCGGGCATTGGTCCCCGGCGACGATACATCACCGCAAGCGCCGCAAGCAACATCAAGCAACCTCTTCCCAAGCTCACCCACGCGCCTTCAACCCTCCCGGGACCACAAGGAAGACTTGCCTACTCTACTTTGCTTGGGGTAGGGTAGGGCAGTTGCACGGGTGGCAAGAGAATGGATAGCAGGAGTCCTGGTGAACAAGTAGCCACCTGTGTCACTCGCACCGGCACCCGTCTCTCATTGCTGTGCTGCTGCCGCTGCTCCTGAAGAGGAACAAGAGGTTGACAAAGCCTCGAATTGCCGGAATGGCACTTTGGATCGTCAAGCGAATGAATTGCTGCTCGCAGACAAGGTTGTGCGATTGCCATACTTGTCCGTTTCACTTGGCTCTCGTCACCCGGATGACAAACAGAATGCGCAGAAAAGCAACTGCGCCGATTTTTCAACACGGCTAAGTGAAGCCACCCCGGCCCAGAACTGCGTGGCAATGTTCTCTTCAAAAATAGAAGAGAGAAGCTTCCATTTGAGAGGCCATGCAGCTTCAACTGCACGTGCGAACACTGGCGTACGAAACATGTGTGCTGACAGCACCTTGGTGGCAATGGGGACAGGTGTGGATATTCAAAAATGCTCGATCTGCGGCAATCACCTTGTTACCGGAACTGAAGCAGCTTGAGGTCAGTGAGAACGACTTCGCCGAGATAGTGTTCAAGCAGTTGGAGATCAAGTGCCTCAAGACACAGTGATGCGTTCTGCGGAACTCTGAAAGGATGCTCCGGGTGATGTCCTCTGCACCGTCAAACTTTGTGATCCTAGTTGTGGTCAGTCAGTTAGCCATGTCCCCCGGAAGGTACGGCATCCCCTCCGCACAACAACGCGTTCTCTACGAAGGCCAAGCATGCCTAACATGCAGATCACGGTCTCTCAAGGTCCCTGTATCCTTCGACAGTATTCTGAATCTCCAGCCTTGCGAGGCTATGACGGATCTACTGCCGATCTGCAGCGCGGCCGCAGGCTGAAGGACACAACATGCGACCGTCTTTGTGCACGCGCATGTAGGCATCAGCACTCTGGCCGTGAGGAGTTCAAGCTGGCGCCCCAAGTTCGCCTCATCCTGGCAAAGGTGTTGCCAGCGAAGCCGAAGGCGAGCGGCGAGCACACGTGCTCTGCGTGTGTGTGTGTGTGTGTGGGCAACCCAAAATACCACGGGAATTTCAGCAGC